GAAGATTTACAGCCGCAGAAAGCCTAGAGGGTTGCTGTGCATCAGAACTGACTTGCTGGCAGTGGGTAAGTTAGGAGACGGTGCTTACTGTGTCCCAGGCGTCACATATGTATCTAATCTCATCCTGACTCCTCATTTCCATTTCACAAAGAAGGAAACCGAGGCCCGAGAGGCACAGGAACGTGTCCAAGGTCGGTCAATGGTCAGTAACAGGGCCAGGAAGTCTGGCTCCAGAGTCTGTGCTTATAATCCTCACGCTGAGATTAGATGGTGACCGGCGTTTTGAATCACGCAAGGGCAGCCATCCGAACACGTTAAAGTTTTTATTGTGGTAAACTTTTACATAACTAAACGACAAGGTGTACATGCATGGAGAGTTCAGTGTCACTGATGACAGTCATCATCGCCGTCCTTTCCCAATGTGACCACCACTCGGAGCAGAAACTCAATGCCTCCTCAGAAGCCCACCCCACCCATTTCTATAAGTGAGGTCATAGAGTGCTTGTCTTCCGGGAGCTCATGTCACTCGGCATAATGTTCTCAGGACCCATCCACGCTGGGGCATGCCCGAAGACTCCATTCCTCTTCACAGCTGCATAGTACTCCATGGTGTGCATGACCCACACTTGAGTTGGCCGGCATCTGTTGGTGGACGCTCAGATGTTTCTGTCTTTTAGCTGTTGTGAGATGTGCTTCCACGGCGTTGATGGTTTCTGTTTGCATTCCTGCCTTCATGCTGAGCACAGGTGTTTTCTCCTCTCCCTCCCACCCCTTCCTTTCTTTCTAACTTATATCTGCTTAGTTTTAATTTAGGTAAGTAGAAAGGCCCAGCCAATCAATTCATTAGCTTGGTCAAGGCAAGACACTTGAGCTACACAACAGGGTGTAAAAGGCAGCCGGTCTTTTAGTCATTCTCTGGTAATCCCTGGGTTTCTTGAGCCTGGCAAGATTGTCTATTGTCACTCTGTCATTCTAACGGGGACACATAGGGACATGCAACCAATAGGCCATGGCTCTGGAGGTGCTTACAGGGGAGAGAGTCGGTGGATGGTGGAGGCTGACATGAGCCTGACCCTGGCGTATGAGCTGGTGGTTGCCACTGGGGACACACGGGGTTTGTGTGACCCTGCCTGACGGACCTGTGGCTGCGATCTCTGAATAGGGAAGCAGCGTGGTAAAGCAGGAAAAGCACAATTTTGGGAGCTGGAAATGGCTTTGAACTTCCTGGTCCACACTTAATATGCTGTATGACCCTTGGCAAGTTATTTTGTCTCAGAGCCTCTACTGACTCATCTACAAAATGGGAATAATCAAGCAGGAGTGAAGTAGTGACTATTAAATGCTGATACAGAACTGAAACAAAACCGATTTTGACGCAACCCAGAGCCGCACTGTGCTCCATAGGGGTCTCAAGGGCTGTGACCTTGAAAACGGGGCTGCTGTGGAGTCATCGGGGCCTTGGCTTGAGCTTAGAAAGGTCCCCTACCTTCGCCAGCCCTGTTTGCTCCTCTCCTCCCTCTTGTCAATTCTTGGAGAGAAGAGGAGGGAAAACCTGGGGTCCCTCCCAGAAAGACTGGGGAGTAAATATCAGCTCTTCTTCTCTATCAGCCCCGCAACATTAGATCCCCTCTAGTACATCCCTAGAGCCTCAGGTCCCCAGTGGCTCAAAGCTCTGATCAGGGCAGGGCTGCCTCCTCCCCCTCACAGTGCTGCCAGGGGCCAGCAGATACCTGAATGAGCGGGACCTTCCAGGGCCAGACCCTCCCCACGGATGGCAGGGGTTTGAAGATGTGGGAGGGCTCAAGGGATTCTTTGAGGGGAATGTGAGCCTCTCCTCTAGGCTGACAGTGGCAGGGTCCCTGAGGTCCTTTGGAGGCCACCCTAGAGGAGAGAAAGCAGAGGAGGAGAAGGCAACGCAGACGCCCTTTCCCTCTCTAGAAAGCAGGCTTGTGTGGGGTGGCGTGGGTTGGGGCTGGAGGAGAGCATCCCTGAGCTGTCGAGATGCGGGCTCTGCTCTGGAGCCTGGTGAGTCAGAGCATGTGTACTGACATCGGGGCTGCTTTGGAGAACCCTGCGCTGCTGGCGGAAGGACCAGGCCATGGTGTGCTGACAGCGACCCCAGTCCTGTGCACACATCACTGAACCACACCACGGGCATCATGCAGTTGGCATGTAACCTGTGCATGCAGTCTTTATCCACGGTGACTCCCAAAGCCCAGCCTTGTTCCCATCGGATCGATGGCCCCTCGAGATGGCTGAGTCAGTGGTAGAGGCAGGATCTGAAGCCATATTACGTGTCTTAAGAGCCCAACTCTTATCTCCACATGATGATGTCCTACCAAGAGAGGGGGAGCCAGGGTTCTCTTAGGCTGCTCTTTGGTGGGCTTGTCCTTGAGGTGCAGCACAGGCAGATTTCTGAGCACTTTGTTGGGTGGTTATAGTGTCTCTCTTCTTTTTCCTCCCATTCCCATCACTGCCTGTCTCCTCCCACTACCCCTCCCCCTCCCCGTTCCCCCAGACAAGCAGTCATTGTCGACTATATGCATGCTCCATAGGGGTTTAAAAAGTTGTTTTTAATAATTAGATAGCCAGGCCTGTCTTCCAAGATACCTCTGGGTGAACTCGGACCTACATCCTTTCAGGTAGGAGCTGAGGACGTATTTTTGCACCCCCTACCCCCACCCCACCTCCTCCTCCTGCCCTAAAGCCTAGTTGGTGTTCAGCACCATGGACAGGACACCAACATTGCTGTCTCTGTCTAGCTGGGAGAAAGGCGGCGTAGGGGCTGGAGAGAGAGCTCAGTCGTGAGAGTGGGTGGGGGGGTGTTGGCTTTGCTGCTCCGTAGGGATGACACATCTTCTTGGCTTCGCCTCCTCCGCCCCCCTTCCATCTGCAGAAGGTTGCCTGGGAATCTGGTTCTCTTCCTGCCTCTTCTTGACCCCTTCGTCTCCCCATGTCTAAGCCTCCGCTGACTGCCTCGGGAGCTAAGCTAGGCTGGGGGAGTGCTGGGGGAATCCCTGGCTTGCAAACCTCGGTGTGTTCTTGGGGGAGCGCACACCTTCTCTATCACTTATGACCAGGTGGGCACACCTGTGTGCAGGAACATCACTGACATGGTACACGCCATGGCTCTCACTTCATGGAAATCTGGAGATGAAAGTCCAGATTGACTACCACACAGGACTTCAAGGAGAGGTTGCATGGACCCCTTGGGGCTTCCTGCTTCAAGTTGGCCTCTGAAAGTGTGGGGAATGCATACGTGTGTGCCCATGTGTAAACATTTAATGCTGTTTATTTTCTGGAGAGAGATTTTTATAGATTGCAGTATATTCTCAAAGGGCTCCTGAGCTTCAAAAAGTTGAGAGAATAATGGGGCTAAAGGGTCTTCCAGTTCGGATTGCCTTTGAGGGTTTAGGGGCTGCCGGTGCTCAGCTTGTGATGCGCTATCAACCTCTCTGTGCCTCTGGGGGCAGTTCTTTGCCCCCTTTCCCCACTCCCTGCTTCTTATGGTCCAAATTTGAGAATGGGGATGTTGGACGCGCCACAGTGTAATTTGAGTTGTAAATTTCAAGGCTTCTGGCATCCATCGTAATTGATAATAGGTTTCGTGGCGAGCATGGGTTGTGTGCACATAGTTCTGGGAAAAGCATTTCTATTTGTGGAGCCTGAGGGCAACGGTGAAGGCATCACTCCAAACTGCAAAGAGGGTTCAAAGAGACTACTAAGACCTGGAGAGGTAGCAGTTTCTCTTTTTTTTTTTCAAGCACTATCCAATGGCGACTAATTTTTTAGCATCACAGGATTTGGAAGGTGTTGGGACTCATGATAACCATATGTTGACTTGTACTGGGTGAACATATGTTCACCTGATGTTGATGTTGTCAAGGACTTTGTCTTACTTGTATCCACAATCAGTGCTCACGGAAGCAGCAGTAAGGAGGTCAAAAGATGCATTGCATTAGGTGGATCTGCAGCACAAGACTTCTTTAGAGGATTGAAGAGCAAGGGTGTTACTTTGGGGACTAAGGTGCGCCTGACCCAAGCCATAACATTCTCCATTGCATCATACATATATGGAAGATGGCCACTGAATAAGGATGACCGTAGGTGAACCGATGCGTTTGAATGAATTGTGCTGGAGGAGGACATTGAAAGGACCATGGACTGCTAAGAGGACAAACTAATCTGTCTTGGAAGAAGTAAGGCTAGAGTGCTCCTTAGCGACAAGGATGACAAGACTTTTCTTACATACTTCACCTATATTGTCAGGAGAGACCAGTCCCAGGAGAAGGACATCATGTCTGTTAAGGGGCAGGGGCGACAATAAAGAGGCAGGCCCTCTAGGAGATGGATTAGCCGTGGCTGCAAAAGTGGGCTGAAGCTTAGAAACAACTGTTGAGGGTGGCCCCGGACCGCGACGTTTTTCATTCTCCTGTGCACAGGGCTGCTGTGGTCAGAGTCGATTGGATGGCACCCAACATTGGGTGCCATCCTTTGCAAGGATGCTTGCTTTTCTGAGGTATTCTGATTTGTGTCTGGGGCAGTCATGAGCTTTCTGGACTCCTGTGAAATGTGGGTTAGGGCCCACTCAGCCCAGCAGGGCCCAGTCCATTGCTGGGATCAGAGCTCAGCCCATTGCTGGGGTCAGAGCTCAGTCTGTTGCTGGGGTCAGGACTTTATCTGTTGCTGGGGTCAGGGGTCAGTCTGTTACTGGGGTCAGGACTCATCTAAGGCTAAGGGTGGGGCTTCAGCTGAGTTCAGAGATGAGGCTGAGTTCTGGTAGGGTCAGGGTTCAGTTTGGGAACATGATCATAAGTGAAGTTAGGGCCTGGTCTGAAGCAGGGTCAGGCCTCAGACCAGGACTACAGTTGGGGCTCAGACAGGGATCAGGGTTCAATTTATTGCTGGTCTTAGGGTTCAATCTAGAACTGGGACCAAGGCTGTTTGAGGCTGGGACTAAGGGTCCCCCTGGGGCTGGCTCCTGTGGTCTTCTTCCACAGGTGCCCCGGACCCCACGTCCTGGGATGGAGTCGGCGGAGAGCAGGCGTTTGGCCACCACGCACAGCAGGAAGGCCCTGAAGGCCAGCCTGACGCTGGGCATCCTGCTGGGCATGTTCTTTGTGACCTGGCTGCCCTTCTTTGTGGCCAACATCGTGCAGGTAAGGCCACAGCATGGGCAGCCCCGAGCCTCCCACACCCCAACCCAGGTATGGAGGGAGGTGGGTGGACTGCCCCCTGGGGTCAGTAGGGTGGTCGGTGTCCTCGACTCACCCCAGGTGTGACCCACTCCCATCCCAGGCCGTGTGTGACTGCATCTCCCCAGACCTCTTTGATGTCCTCACGTGGCTGGGTTACTGTAACAGCACCATGAACCCCATCATCTACCCGCTCTTTATGCGGGACTTCAAGCGGGCCCTCGGGAGATTCCTGCCCTGTCCCCACTGCCCTGCAGAGCACCAGGCCAGCCTTGCCTCACCGTCCATGCGCACCTCTCACAGCGGTGCCAGGCCGGGCCTGAGCCTGCAGCACGTCCAAGCCCTGCCCCTGCCCCACTCGGACCTGGACTCTGACTCGGGGGCCTCCTCGGGCCTGCAGCTCACAGCCCAGCTGTTGCTGCCTGGAGAGGCCACCCGGGACCCCCCACCTCTTGCCCGGAGTGCTGCCGCCATCACCTTCTTCAATATTGATCCACCGGAGCCAGAGCTGCGGCTGCATCCACTGGGGACCCCTATGAACTGATCAGGGCCAGGGGCTGGCCAGTGGGGAGGGGGCTGGATGGCCAGCCTCTGAGGGATGAGGCCAGGCCCTCGGCCATGGCCAGGAGTCTGTGGGTCTCCTTGGGGCTCGCTGAGCTTCACCGGGGTGCGCTGAGTCCATCCCCCACTGCCCACTCCTGACCATTGGGTGGGATAGACTCTGGCTCCGATGCCCCATAGTTGAGTGTCCCTTGCAGCTGCGTGTGTGCAGGATGGACGGAGGATGCTGGGCTCGGATTAGGATGAAGACAGTGTTGTCCCTTTGACTTGTCTGCAGAGAGGGGGAGTGCTTGGCCGGGCCTCTCGCTGCTCAAAGTGTGGTCCTCAGACCAGTAGCATCCACATCACCTGGAATTTTGCTGAAAATGCATATCCCTGGCCTACCCTAGAACCCCCAGGTCAGAACTTGCGTGCTCACAAGAGCCTGGGTGGGTGGTCTGCCTGCGCCGCGCCATCTGAGACGCTGGCTGATCACACGCAGTTACCAATGATCGGATGGGGTGTTGATGCTGACTCAGCAAGCACGTGCATCAGGTTGAACTGTGCTCCCTACAATGTCCATGGCTTTTGTTTGGGTCGGGGATAGCTCACCAGGCCTTTCTGCCCAGGCACCTTGGGGGTAGACTTGAACTCTCAACCCTTCGGGTAGCAGCCCAGTGAGTTTACTGTTTGCACTCCCAGTGACTCCTGGGAAGGCTTAGGCAGTTTTAAAGCTGGAGCAGGGTTTGCCGGGCAGTTTCCGGGTGGGCCGGCTCAGGCTGGTGGGTTCATTCCATGCAGCACAGGCAAGCTCTGGGTTGCGTCTGGTCTGGCCAGAATGAAATCTCAGTTCCACAGTTTACTAGCTCGGGCAGATTATGAACCTCTCTGAGCTCAGTAATTGTGTGCAAAATGGGTGACACTTTCCTCCCACAGGTGCCAAGAGCACCCAGAGGTGGCAAGTAGGATGCGGTTGTCTCTCTGGCCATCCTGCCTGCTCCCCAGGCTGCTGGCTGTGGGCAAGGTGGGGGTGGGGTGGAGTGGAGAGGAGAGGGGGCTATTGGTACCTATAGTTCTTTGTCCGTTTTCCTCCTCAACCTGAAACCAGAGCCCAACCCCTTAACTGGGGTTCCCCAGCTCCTTTTCTGGGGGTTGGGTGGGCCCCCATCCTTCAGGGATCCTGGGGGGAGCTCGTTTCCTGTTTACTTGACATAGGTTCCTTTCCAGCTGTTTTATTTTAGCACCCTCCATCCATCCTTGCACAAAGTTCCATTAACCCAAACACTTGCATCCCCCGCCCTCCCCGGGAGGGGTGGTGGTGGTCCTCCATGGCTGTCCTGGCACTCTCCTTGGTGCTGACCAGACTCAACTCCGGCCCTGGCCGCAGGCCACAGAAGGCCAGGGGCCATGGTGCTTGTTGGGGCTCCCCCGTGGCTCCCCGGCCTGGCCACACAGACTCAATAAATACTGACTGAAGACAACGACCCGGTCTGGACTGGATTCACTTGGCAGGGGGTGGGGGGTACTTGGAGCTGGAGAAGCAGCTGGTGTCCTGGGGGAGCTGGCTTTAGGACCTTGGGAAAATCCTTTGGCGACCTGTTTTCTACGATGACAGCAACAGCTCTGCCATTCCAAACACACACAAGCACACAGGCTGGCCCGAGACAGCGCTCACCCTGCCCTGCTTGTCAGCTCTGCACCTTAGGACGCGTGATCCCCAGCCCCGACCTTCAGGGACAGAGGGCGGAGCACACGGGAAGGTCCTCATGGGTGCAGACGAGTGGTAGAGCTTGGGCACAGGGCCTGGCTGACTGGGATGTGAGACTTGGCTCCAAGGATGATAAGCTGGGACCTGGCGCAGGTTACTCCAGCTCCCTGGGTCTGTTTCCCCCAGTGTAAAAGCGCAGATAAGAGCCATGCCCAGAGCTGCCACGAGGACCACGTGTGTATCCGGCATGCAGGAACCCCTCAAGGAGCCGTCACGATTCATCCTCATCGTTGTTACCCCCCCTCGCCTCCCCCGTCCCTTACAACTCACTCTGGTCACCAGACCCAGCTCTACCCACCCAGCAGGCGGACTCAGCAGTTATTCACCGTCTGACAGTTCTATGGAAGGCCACAATGCTGTGCACTGTTGGGGGCACATTCACCCCAACAGTGTGATTGATGGCCCTGCAAGGCTGTGGGGCAGGCCTGACCAGCTCTACCAGGAGCAGAGCAAGTTGCCCTACTCCATGCCCCTTCTGTCTGCTCGGGTACCCAGGCCCTGACTGGAGAACAGGTAGACAGGTACTGGCTTCATGGAGGTCCGGAGGCCTGGGGAAGTGGTGGTGGGGCAGCCTCAGGCCCCAGAGACCCCTGGGTTCTGGGTGGCCAGCCAGGCCCAGCCCCCTGAGCTGCGGCCCTGCGTTGCACTGAGCCTGTGGCTGGTGGATTCAGTTCTCTGGCCTTGATTCCCCAGGGAGGGCAGGCCTTCCTCTACCCCTGCTCCAGTTCCATACTGCAGGAAGGCACCTGTGGAAGTCCTACACCTGTGGCGCTCAGGCGGGAGGGAAGCTGCCGACCACTGAGACATCAGCGCAGTCGCTGCTCAGGAGTCAGTCCAGGCCTGGGCAGGGCCCCGGGGTCTGGCTGGCACAGTCAGGGCAACCCAGTGGATTGGGGTCCATGCCATGGCTGCAGACATGGGGGCTCTCCGCAGGCTTCAGGGCGGCCAGAGAGGAGCCCCTCTCAGAGTGACCCGGCCCGCTTGGCACCTGGGATTGGTGGGGCTCGGTGATTGTGGCAACTTGAGGGGTGTCCTTGGGTGTGAGATCCTGGGCTTGCTCATCCAGGCGGGTGGCCTCGCCTGATGGTAAGGAGACGGCAGTTGCTCCCTGGCGAGGCTCCCCAAGGGGCAGGCTGCCTGGGGCCAGCAAGAGCCCCTTCTCGTCCCAGCCCGGCTTGGTGCGGATGCCCACCAACTTCAGGATGATGTCCATCTGTTTGGCGTAGTCCAAGTGGCCGCTGACCTGCAGAGGGACAGCAAGTGAGGACTGTGTGTGTGGGTGTGCGCGCAGAAACAGGCCATCCCAGGGCCCAAGGGAAGCTCCCGAGCCGCTAATCTGCCCCCCTGCTCCTTAGTCACTGCATCACCAGGCCCGAGGTGCTAATTCGGAGGGGCGCGGGAGCCTCTAGGTTCCAGGCCCTCTTCGAGTTTGTTAAGTAAAGATGAAGCACAAGGAGGAAGGTTTGGAGGAAGGTGGAAGGGTGCTTTCTCTGTCGCCTGCAGCTTGGGACACCAGTGCTTGCCACCTGTGGGGCCTGGGCAAGACCCTTCTGTGCTTCAAACGGGGATGATGGTGGCAGCAGAGGGTTTCCTAGAAGGGGACAAGGTACCGTCCAGGAAGGACACAGCAGCTGCACTCCCAGCGAAAGCCCCAAAGGGAAAATAAGGCAGGGGCACAGATTGCCTGGCCTGTCTACAAGTCACTCCCCACATCCCCTCCCTGCCTTTAATCATAAGAACCCCAATTTACACCCCCAACCCACCCCTAAGGGTGCCCCGGGGGCATAATGATTACATATTGGGTTGCTAACCCAAAGGTTAGCAGTTCAGCGCCCCCCGCTGTCCCAAGGGGGAAAGAAGAGGCTTTCTACTCCCGTCGAGAGCTGTAGCCAAGTGTCGCTAGGAGCCGGAGTGAGTTTGGTTTCTCGGTCACCCTCCCTTGACAATCAGTGTGGGCCTGTGACAAGTTTGGGACAATGCGGGAAAGCCACCTTGTTCCTCAGAAATCTGGGTGTGTGTGCTTTTTCTCTGTTCACTTCCTTTCCTTCTGGCTGGAATGCAGGTGCGATGGCCGGACCGTGTGCAGCTACGTTGGGCCTGCATTGCCTTCTGGACTTCTTGCATGTGACATTAGAAACCCTTGTGTGATTAAGGTGTTGTTGGTTGTTTTTTTTTGGGGGGGCGGGGGGACTCTGTTCTAGGGACCTTACCTAAGATAAGGCTAAGAGCTCAGAAGTACCCACCCCCTTCTTCAGAGAACAGCACCCCCCCCACCCCCCGCCCCATGTTCTGTGCTGCGGGTGTTGGTGCGTGAGGTTAGGCTGTGACTGCACCACTCGGCCCCTGTGGAGTGGTTCCATCCTTGGTGACCGCACAGGCTGGAGTTGAAGCGCACTCCATGGTGCCTGGGGAGTAGCTTGGCAGGCCTTCTGAGTAGGCAGACCTCTAGCCTCTCGGTTGGCAGTGGAGCGTGTTAGCGGTTTGCCCCGTGCAAGGGCCTCATTGACGGACAGGTGATGTGCTGCCGAGGGTTCGAACTCATCGCGATGGCGTGGGACAGAGGAGAACTGCTCCCTGGGGCTTCTAGAATGGCACCTTCATGCAAGCAGATCATCAGGGCGTATCTGCTGCAGACAAGACCTGGGCTCAAGCGTGGGGCACAGTAAACCCCTGTCATCGAGTTGATTCCAAAATGCACAGCAACCTTCGAGGATGGTGGGCACTGCCTTTGTGGGCTTCTGAGACTGTTAACTGTTCATGGGAGTAGAAAGCCCAGTCTTTCTCCCCTGGAGCGGCTGGTGGTTTCTAATTCGGACCCTGAGGTCAGCAGCCCATCCCATAACCACTGTGTCCCCAGGACTCTTATGGGACACAGTCGGCCCCTAATTAACCAAATCCCTTGCCATTGAGTCAATTCCAACTCAAAGCAACCTTGTAGGATGCCTGCCTGGTGCATTTCCAAGACTGTAACTCTTTACAGGAGTAGAAAGCCTCCTCTTTTTACCCCCCTCTGAGCAGCTGGTGGTTTTGAACGGTTGACCTTTTGGTTAGCAGCCTAGTGCTTTATGCACTGTGCTGGTAGGTCCCTGATACACTGTAGCCAATAAGCTTATTGGAGATACTCCTTTGACAGGTGCCACCTGCTCACTGGAACCCCAGGGTGGGTGGTGCAAACAGTTAACATGCAGCTACTAACCGAAAAGTTGTCCATTCAAGTGCACTCGAAGGTGCCTCAGAAGAAAAGCCTGGTGATCTACTATATGAAAATCTGCCCCTGAAAACCCTAGGGGCTCAAAAAACCCTTCTACTCTGACAGACAGACACCGTGAACTGGAGGGAACTGGTGGTGTTGGTGGGTGTCTGCTGCTGACTGCCTTTCTATAGAAGGGGAGAGAACTTCAGCGAGCTATAACTAAGACATGGCAGAGACTGGGTTTGAATCCAGATCACTGGCTCACTGACAGTCACTGGAGGTGGGGGAGGCACTTTAAGCCATTCTCATGCAACCGCTGAGGACAGCATGAAAACTCAGAGAGTGTAACAGTTTACCTAGCATCACACAGCATGGGAACATCCAAGCATCCTACCCTGTGCTTGGGAGGCAGTGTGTGGAGGCTGCTTGGCTTAGCTCTCCCAGCAGAGGAGCTTCCTGCTCCCCCCCTCCCTCCCACCTCATCCAGGGGGCCTGCTCGGTGCTTGGCAAGCTCTGCACAGAACCAAGGGTTTTATATAACAAGGGGACAAGGAGACACTGGGGTCCCCGGGGAGCCACACAAAGACTGGGAACATCTGTATTGCCATTTGAGTCACAAATCACAGTGGGTGAGTCAAATGATTTTTGAAGAACACTAAAAGACGATGCCTGGAACAGGTTTGTTCTTTCTTTAAGATCAGAACCTGCCTGCTCTGCTCCTTTCTTTTTAATGCGGTGTAAATGCACACAGTTAAAGCGGCCTTTCAGGGCCCTGGGTTCTCTAACAGGTCAGTGCTTGAACCCCTCCACCCCCATGGGTCAGCAGCAGGGGTGCTTTTGTGCCACCCAGGGCCTTTGAGAGCTTGAAGGCTCCAGTCCCCCCAGAGGTGCCTCAGAAGAAAGTCCTGGTGGCCTGCTTGTGGAAAAGCCAGCCATGGCAAACGCTGTGGAGCACAGTTCCACACGGGGAGTCGGAATCCCCTTGATGGCAGCGGGTTGGCACATAGAAGCTGTTTTGTGAGAGTGGCATCCTTGGAGGGGGCTGGAGAGCCAGAAGCTAACTGGCCTGATCTACTGGGGGGCCTAGTTCCTAAATTCTGCTGAAACCTCACATCCCGGGAACAGATAAGAACTGCCTCCCTAAACAGGGGTGTGGGTATGTGTGTGGCTGTGGCTGTGCCGGGGCTGTGGCAACCCGCGGCAGCTGGCTCCTGGTGGACAGCTCCCCTCGCAGCTGTCTGAGAACCAACGGCTCTGGCCCCCTTGGCTACAAGCTGGTTGGGGTCTCAGCCAACCTCAGTCCCTGAGCTGGCATTCTGCAGTTTCAGTTTTCCTTGGACCGAGGGAGGAGGGTGGAGGGCAGAGAGAATCTCTTCTGAGCGTGGCAGGTTCCGGCGTGGCTGCTGTGGACAGAGGTCTCTCTTTCGTCTGGAGCCCTGCCACATGCCTGGGCACACACTGGATGTCACGTGTGTGGAGAGCCTTCCCCGGCCCTGTGGGGCTGGTAGAACCCCTCCTGGCAGCTCCTCAGGATGGTACTTGCTAGACCCCATAGTCACTTCCAACTGGGCCGGATACATCACCAGGCCCTTCCTGTTAGCTGCCTTACACCACACTTCAACTCGCCCCAACTGAAGGCATGACACCATCTCTGCCTATCCCACCAACTCCTTCAAGTCTATCAGGCCCTGTTAAGTTCCTCATCTCTTGGGCCTCCGCTCCCTCATCTGTAAGACAGGGCTAATGCGCACGCACGAGCTGGTTGTGGGGATTCAGGGAGACAGGCGTGCAGCAGGCTCACTGGCGCAGGTAGAGGACACGCCTGGAAGTGGAGGAGAAGCAGCTTGGAGGCAGCACGGCCGCAGTGGGCAGTGCTGTAGGTTTCCTATGTTCACCGACCCTTCCACTCACTCGCTGGGCCATCTCCCGCAGCCTCAGCGTTCACATCTGTGAAGTGGGGCCATTATGTCTCCTTCACCTGCCTGTCCTCAGGACCAAACCCAACCATTCCGGTAAAGCGCCCGTGGGGCAACACTGGTGCTGAGTGTCCACTCGGAGCTAAGCCCCGTGCCATGTTCCAGGTCCAGCTGGCCTTTCCTCGGAACGTGAAGACGCTCACCCTGACCCGGGTCTCTGCCCGCCAGAAACCTCACGAGCTGGTGACGGCTCTGAGGTGGCAAAACCTGCCACCTGCCACCACTCTGTCCCCACATGAGGCAGGGAGGCAGCCTGGTCCTGAGGGGAGGCATCCTCCCCGAGGGAGATACACAGCTGCCTGAGAGGGGGCCAGCCCCTCGCTCCCTGGGGCATCCTGAGAACAGGAGTCACCATGAGCCACGTCCGGGTTCCCAAAGGGCCTCCTCACCAGTGCCAGGCTGGCAGGGACTCTGATGGGACCAACAGCCCTCCCCCTGCCGCCACCCCCCCCCTTCCCTGCAGCAGCCCTGGAGCACCTTTCATCGCTCCAGGGGGATTTTTCCAGGAGAAAATGGGGACAGCCCAAAGGCAATGGAAGGCTCAGCTCTGGGAGGGGCGCCTAATGTGATAAGGAGTGCACGAGGCAGGAACGGGGAGGCCCCACTGTGTGACAGTGTGAAGAGGGGAAAGGTACTGGTGGGTGGTGGGAGGAGCGGCAGGGGACTGGAGTCAGTGCTCCACGCTGGCCGGGGGTGGGGGGTGAGGGAGCCTCGTCCTGGCTGCAGTCAGGCCCTGTGAGGGCTTTGTGGCATTTCACTGACAGGGACTGGTGAGCTTTTCTTGCTAGGCTGGCTTCTGCCGGAAGCTCTGCGGAGACCTATCCACCATGGGGGACCATGCAAGACACAGCACCACGTGGACACCAAGTGTGACAATCGGCCAGGATGTCCCGTAGAAGCGAGGCCGGTGAGCTTCCGTTTGCTGACTTGGGAGGATGTCCTGTGCAGCCCCACAGGGGGCAGTGCACACCGGGGGCCCTTCTATGAGATGGCCAGACACAGCAGCCACGACAACGGCCTCCAACCCACTAAAGACCCCGAAGATGGTGCAGGTGGGCGGCATCTCGTTCCGCGGTGGTGTGGTGTGGTGTGTGTGCGTGTGTGTGTGTGTGGCCAGGGGGCCTGGGAGAGGGATGACCAGAGAAGCGTGTGTGGCTTTCAGAGTGCACCTCTGTCCTGGAGAAGGGTAGAGGAGCCGCAAGACGTCTCTTATTCTTGGGCTCATGCCAGCCTCGGGGAGCTCTGGGTTGGCAAGCGTGGGGCTGCTGCCACTGTAGAACTCAGGTGGGCCAGGCCTTGTGTGTTAGGACCCTGGGCGTTTGGGGGAGCAATGATACGAGGGAGACACAGTGGGCTCCAGTGACATGGCAGCAGGGCAGCAAGAGGCCCAGGGGTCCTCTGGGAAAGGACAAGGCTAATGGCCTTCAGGTGCAGCAATTCCTGGTGAACCATGTGTGTGCGTGCGTGCGCGCGCAGGCTCTCGCTCACTACCCTATGCGACCTTCAAGTCCTCAATCAAGTCTCTGTAAACTTGAAGGCTGAGTACTGACCTGCTGGGGGTAGGCTGGGGTTGGTGCCCCAGCTGCTGACGCTGGAGGAGGGAGGAGCCAAGCGTACGCCACTGAGCCCCGGTGCTGGGAGACTTTTCAGTGCCCAGAGAGGGGCCTGGTCTTCCTGCTCTCAGGCGTGATGGCGACTCCAACACCCTCGTGTGGGTCCTGGGGAACCTGGGCAGTGCCAGCCCTGACCCATGGTGCCCAACGATGTGATTGCCACTGACGTGATCATCAGAAACCGAGCTTCGTCTCCTTACCGGCAGGCCCTCCCGTCACAAGGCTTTTCACCGGCTGAAGCTGGCCTGTGGCTGCTGCTGCCTTCCCTCATGCCCGTTCCCTGCCAGTCTGTGGGCCTTGACCCCACCTGCCCTCGTCCTCATCTTCACAGTCTGTGGCCCCTTACACAGGGTGCGTAAGTGCAGCGGGCCAGGCGGATGGTTCTGACGGGGTCTTACAGAAGGCTGGGAGCCTCTTCCTTGACTTAAAGGCTGTGTGCGCAGCAAGGGGAGGGGGCTTCGCTGAGGAGTTGGCTGCAAGGAGGTGTGACCGGAGTGGGAGTGGGTTCCCCAGGTTCACAGTGAGGGCAGAATCCCACAGCACTCCAGGGCAGGGGTGAGTTATCAGTAAGCGGGCTGCTCACGCCCCTGGGTCAGCACCACAGCCACGGGGCTTTGCTTCTGGTGTCCCCAGCATCCTCATCTGTACACTGGGGATCTGAAAGCCTGGAAGAGGGACTCAGTACGTGTCCACACACAAAGCTCTGAAGTCCCCCAGGCAGGCCTGGAGACCAAGTGCCAGTTGCAGGAAGGGGCTGCAGGCTCTTAGGATCTCTCTCTCTCTCTTTCTCCAGAGTCAGCATCCCCCGTCAGGGTGTTGCTTGCCCGGGTAGCTAAGGCCCTGCCCCCTGGCCACCCAAGATGCTGGGAGGGTCAGGCTGCTACTCACCACTGTGGACAGGTCCACGTTCTCCACCCTCCGGTCCTCCAGCTGCACGGGCTGCAGGCCGGCCACACGCAGCTGCACGGAGGACGTGCGGTACACGAAGCTTAGCAGCCAATCTCCCCTGTGGGTGGGTGTGGGTGGAGACAAGAGTGAACCAAGGGGAACCAGGGCGTCGTGGGTGGGGGTGGGGGTGGTGGGGTGTGTCTGTGGGCATCCAGGACCTTGCCCGTGCCCGCGCACCTGCCTGCCTGGGGTTTCCGAGAGCTAGGCCCTGCCCAGGCTTTGCAGGACCACCCTCAGGTAGACCCCACATTAGCTGTCCGCATGAGGGTTGGTCCCACTGGGTGAATAGCTGTAGAATGAAAGAATGAATGAATGAATGAATGAACTGGGGTCGAGGGCACTGGGACAAGTCAGCCTGTTGCTCAGGATAGCTAATCCCCGCTGGGGGTGTGAGTTCCTTGGGATGGGAGCAGGGGATCCTCTTGGGAAGGGGGAGCTGGCAAGGACGGGGACTGTAACAAGCGGGCCCCCATCCTCTGTGGGAGCAGGAGGGACCAGCTCTGCTTTTGGAGAATGGAGCTGGCCTGCTCTGCAGGTCTCCCTGCCTCCGGCATCTGAGGAGGGGGGATGGTTTCCCTGGTGGGTCCCCCTCCCCCCCGCAACACCTTAGCATGGAAGCTGTGGACCCCTGGTGTACCCTGTCCCCATGGGCAAGCATACCCCCCTCTCCATAGAAAGGGACCCACATGCTGCCTGTTTCTTCAGGTGCAGCGCGTCCACGGGGATGCGCTCGGAGGTGGCCCACAGCACAGTGGTCCTCTGGAGCCCTGGGGCTTTGTGCAGGTTGCGCGCTAAGCGAGAGCTGAGGGTGGACTTGACCGTGCGGGTGGTCACAGGATGAAGGTGGGGCAGTGTTCTGCTCGGGTGCCCACTAGGGTGGCTGGATGGCAGCTGTCTTATCTACCAGGTGATGCTGCTACTCGAGTCCCACAGGTGAAGCCGGGCCTTCCCAACACTGCACCTGTGGAAGGGCCTCACTCCCCAGGCTCGCTCCACAGGCCCGGAGCCACTGCTGAAGGGAAATGGCTTGGAATGGCTCTCTTGTCCATACCTTTGTAACTCCCACCACGTGATGGGGTGGGGCCCTGCAATAGGGTGTGCAACACTAATGGAGGGTACGGTGGGTACAGAATGAGGCATCTCAGAAGCGGAGAGAGTTCCCAGGACCATGAAGGCAGAGGACCACTAGTGAAACATGTCAGAGATCCCGGCTTACCAGGTGCAGGCCAGAACTGGACGGAGGCCTCAGAGGCCGAGGCAAGAGACCATGGGACAGGGCAGAGCAGCAGTGCTGAGACTCTGAAATTGTGAGGCAGGGCAGGGGGCTTGCTTTCTGGGCCACAGAGGCTGACGCCAAGGGACCACGTGGTCGAGAGACGGAAGACTAGAGAGAGTTGTTTCCTGGTGAGGGGATCAATGACTGTCTCCTTAATGCTCCCTGATCCTGGCTTGTGGTACAACCTGTGAACATCCCTAATAACCCCCCTTGATTGTGAGTACTTTCTGTGGGTTGTGTGTGGCATTGCTATGGATTGTGGAACCCGAGAACAGTGCAGAGTGCCGTGGGAGGACTGCTGGTGCCTGAGCAGGCTGGAGGGTGGAAGCAGGTCTGACCTCTGCCTTGTGGCCACTGACCTGGTGCAGCCTGAGGAGGGTGGCCCCCAAGCAGCAGGCACCTTTGAAATGGGAATAACTCCTCCTTCACAGGGTGCTGGGAAGCTTCCGCGACATGACATCAGCAGGGGCTGGCACTCAGTAGGTGCCCAGCAAATGGAAGCAGTGCAAAATTGGGCACCATCACATAGTATGTGCTTTTGGGCATTTTTTATAAACAGCAAAGGGAAAGAATTAAAATTGCATGTGAGCAGTATGAACGCAGCAGGATCTTATTAAACCCATATGTTCTGCTGAGAACCTGAGGCTAATAGGCTTGGTTTCCAATTATTTTGTGAGATCTGGGGCCATCTCTCCGGAGAGGACGAAACAGAGGGAGGTTGTGGGGGCGGAAAGGGAAACAGACACAGAGAACAAAAGGCACTCTAGGGCCTTCGCTAAATTAGGCACCAACCAGGAATTCATGTTCGTGGCCCCTGAGGGCCTTTCAGTTGCCCATGAACTTAGGGAAACAGGGGAGGCAGGCAGGGGTCATCAGGCCACCACCATCAACTACCGTATATACTTGAGTATAAGCCAACCCGAATACCAGCCGAGGCACCTAATTTTACCACAAAAACTGCATCAAAATGTGCTGAAAAACTCGGCTTATACTCGAGTATATATGGTCTATGTGTTTATAGATTTATAATTATAATTACATTAATAGGCACTTGGCAAATCCACTTCTTGAGTTGAGCTCCCATGAATCCTAGAAGTCAATATTTCTGCTGCTCAGAAGCACAGCCTCTCACTGCCTTTCGTGGATGCTGACTCACAGTGGCCCTGCAGGACAGCGTAGAAGTGACCCCCACTGGGGGTTTCTGAGACTGTAACTCTTTATGGGAGTAGAAAACCTCGTCTTTCTCCAGAAGAACAGATGGTGGTTTCAAACTGCTGACCTTGTGGTTAGCAGCCTAATGTGTAACCATTACACTGCCAGCTGACTCACAGCGACCCTGTAGGACTGGCTAGAGCTGCTCTCCCCCCCACCCTCCACCCTCTGGGTTTCTGAGACTGTCACTCTTTATGGGAGTAGGATGCCTCATCCCTCTATGCATCAGAATTAATTCCATGGCATTGAGCTGGTGTGGGTTTTTTTTGTTTTTTGTTTTGAGAGCATTATCACCAGAATGCTCCTTAGAAGCCAGGACAGCGAGACTTCTCTCCCTTACTTGGAAGTGTCAGGAGGAACCAGGCCCCGGAGAAGGACATCATGCTTGCTAAAGGAGAGGGTTAGCAGAAACGAGGAAGCTCTCAGGGCTCTGGACCGACAATGAGCGCGACCGCAGGCATGGCTGTGAAGATGCGCAGCAGCAAGCAGGGACAAGGGTTGCTCTGAGTTACACTGACTCGGTGGCACACAGCAACGGGCATGCCTTGAACTGCCCCCGAGGGTTTTCTAGGCAGCAGTCCACACAACGCAGCTCGCCAGGTCTTTCTTCTGAGGTACTGCTGGGTAGGTGTGACTCGCACACATTGTATGTGTTGCCCACGGGCCCTAGGCAAATAATGGTCCTTCTTTCCTTCCTTATGGATTCAGGGCGAGTTGTGCTAATAAGCGTGTTGTACCACACCACACGCAGGAAAACACCTTTGGTCTGGAGAACGCCTTGGACTTTTGGCATCGCAGACTTTGGGGCCCTGGTAGGGTAGTTCTTACACATTGGGCTTCTAGCTGCAAGGTCAGCGGTTTGAAGCCACCAGCCACTCCTCAAGAGGAAGATGAGCATTCTACTCCCATAAAGAGCTACAGCCTCGGGGCAGTTCTACCCTGTCCTAGCGGGTCCCTCGCTATGAGTCGGCCTGGACTCGATGGCAGGGAGTTATACTTTTGGGTACCTGCCTGGAGTCGCTTGCTTTCCCAGAGGGCTCTGAGTGCCTGGGGGCTGGGCCTGGGCCTCACTCCCTGCTGTGGGCACAGCCGTGGAGGCAGGCGCTCAGGAAACTCACCAATGTTGGTTGAACACAGATCCCACCTGAGCGGTGGTAAGGGTGATGCCAGTAGTACCCGCTGCTCTCCAAGCACAGACCACACGCTGCTCAGCCTCCGTCGCAGCCCAAGAGGCCCTCAGCGAGGCCCGGGCCCAGTGGGGCTCAGAGGTGTCACTTCAGGTTTGGACTGACCTGCAGTAGCCATTGATGATCCGCCCGGACACCACCTTCCGGAAAGGCTCCCAGTGCTTGGCATCCCCTTCCACTGGCGCCCCCAGCAGGACGACGTCCTCGATGATCCCTTGGCAGTCTAGTGAGAGACCCCAGGAAAGGACATCAGTGGCCCTGGATGGAAGCCTCCAACAGCGGCAGATGAGCTCAGTGCCACACACACACACACACACACACACACACACACACACACACACTTCAGGCGCTTATGTGGGTGATGAGGAAACTGAGGCTCAGTCCGGGAGGATCAAAGCTGGGATGAGATTCCAGGGAATGCAAGAGCCCAGGCCCCAGAGCCATCTCTCTGCTGTAAGACCTCAGAGCACAGCACACAGGGCGGGAGCGAGGGATTAGTTGTGGGAGTTCCTGACATCATGGGGGGCCAGGTGGTTGGATCCATGGCTAGCCCACTAACAGGACGTTTCTGGAAGCCAGTGAGCCAGCCCTTCAGAGTACGTTCTTTAATAGCATCCCACCGTTTGTCCATAACGGGCGGTAGCGTTTCAACAGTGGCACTGATGCCTGGAGGCCGGCCCCGTGTGGCCAGCAGTGGTAATCACAGCATTCCTGACAGGGCTGCCCTGAGCAATTGGTGGGCTCCTGAAAGAGGTGGGGAAAGGCAAGCCCAAACCATCCAAACTCCTTACTGTTTTTTTTTTCCCTAAGGCGATAAGGGTTGTTTTTTTTTCCGCCACCCATTTCTTTATAAGCGTTTTATTGTGGGCGCTTACAGCTCTTATAACAATCCATACATCAATCGTGTCAACTGCATTTGTACATTTGGTGCCATCATCTTCAAAATATTTTCTTTCCACTTGAGCCCTTGGTATCAGCTCCTTTTTTACCCTCCCTCTCCCGCCCTACCACACTCTTGGGCCCCTGATAAATAAATAATTATTATTTTAATTTATTACACTGTCTCCCTTGACCCACGTTTCTGTTGTTTGTCTTCCTGGTGGTAGGGGGGTTTACGTTGATCTGGATCCCCCTTTCTCCTTCACACCCTCCACCTACCCTCATGGTATCACTTCTCCCATTATTGCTCCTGAGGGGTTATCTGTCCTGGATTCCGTGTGTCCAGAGCTCTTATCTGTACCAGTGTACATGCTCCAGTCTAGCCTGGTTTGTAAGGTAGAACTGGGATCATGACAGTGGTGGCGGTGGGGGGCACAGAAGTATTAAAGAACTAGAAGAATGTGTGTTTCTTTGGTGCTATACTGCACCCTGGTTGGCTTGACCCTTCCTTGTGAACTTTCTGTGAGGGCATGTCCAATTGTGTACAGATAGGCTTTGGGTTCCACTCCGACCCCCTTCATTCCCATCAATACGATTGTTTTGGGTCTTCTGATGTCTGATACCTGATCCTGTCAACATCTCGTGATCACACGGGATGGTGTGCTTCTTCCATGTGGGCTTTGTTGCTTCTCAGCTAGATGGTTGCTTGTTTATCTTCAAGCCTTTAAGACCCCAGACGCTATATCTTTTGATAGTCGGGCACCATTAGCTTTCTTTGCCACATTTGCTTATGCACCTGCTTTGTCTTCAGTGGTCCTGTCGGGAAGGTGAGCGTCACCGAACGCCAGGTTGTTAGACAAACTCCTTATTTCTAAGATGACCTGACTCAAGGGGACCCCGTGTGTTACCACATGGAACTGCTCCAAAGGGGGTTCTTGTCCATAGTCGTTTTTCTTTTTAAGTTTTACCTTGTTGTTGAGAGTATAGTCAGCAAAACACACACCGAATCAACCGTCCCTACACGGACAGTTCAGTGATATTGACTGTATTCTTCAATACTGCAACCATCCTCACCCGCTAGTTGTTGCTCCCTAAGGCTCCTCTCTGACATTTCAAGGCATGGTCGTCATCGCTCTGTCCTAGGCAGACAGTTCTTAAAAGGGCAGAGGACACTTCTTACCAGTCAGATGAAACTACCATTTGGCTTTTAAGAAGGCTTCGGGGGATATTTTTGGTCTAAGGTTTAAAGATTAGCCCAGGGCAATAGTTTCAGGGGTTCATGCTGTTTTATGACTCCAGAATGTCTAAAGTTCATGAGAATTAGATATTGTTTCCCCTTTTGATTAGGCTTCTCCTATAGAAGAGCCCTGGTAGGGGAGTGGTTACAGGTTGAGCTGTGATCCGCATGGCTGGCAGTGGGAAACCACCAGCGGCTCCTCAGGAGAAAGACTGGGCTTTCTACGCCTGTAAACAGCTACAGTCTCAGAAACCCACAGGGGGCTGCTATGAGTCAGCACAGGCTCAGTGGAAGTGGGTTTGGTTTTCAGTCTCCTAAAGAATCTTGGATCAACATGTCTAGTCATGGTAGCTGGGCACCTTCCAGTTTTTTCTGGACTCCTGGCAAAGGAGGCAGTCATTCCTGACAGCAGTTAGCCACTGATTCCACACCCTCCTCCAATTCCTGATTCTTCTTCTTCCTCTGTTACACAAGGGGAATAGAGACCGATTTTTGTGCCTTGGTTGGTAGCTTGCAAGCTTTTAAGACCCTTGGATCTATGCAATGAACTAGGATGCAGAACAGAAGCACATTATTAAGTCATTTACCTGTAATGTCAAATGAAACCATGATCCCAAACCTCCAAACCAAGGAATCTAACCCATGAGGCATGAGATTGCACACAAATAGCAACTCTCTCTCTGATAAACACATGTATCACACAATCTTTGCCAGTTCTACTTTTTGCAGGTGTACAACTTATTGACAGCAATAATAATCAGCTGGGCATTCATATGCTTAATCAGTGCAGTTTTTTCTTCACTGTTAATTGTCCCTTAATTTTCTCTTTTGGCCTTCCTCCCATCCCTGGTAGCCAATAATGAACTTTGGTCTCTATCCATTTACCTTTTCTTATCTTTTTATAGAAGTGAGATTTATTTGTCCTTCTTTGGCTGCATTCACTCACCGGCATGTCCTCAAGTGCCACTCACACTGTAGCCTGTGTCAAGATGATAGAAGAATGGACAAACGACCCTGCTACCTTCACACCACGGAGTGTTATGTGGCGGTAAACAGTGACAACTCGGTCAAACCCCGCAACTCACGGCCAAGAACACGATGCTTAGCAAAGTTAGTCCATCTTATAAAGATGTAATGACACCATATTATAAGAAAGAGTGGGCTTCACAACAGAGGACAAGACTTTGAAGCCTACTAGGAGGCCAGGCTGGGGATGGGGCAGGGAGAGGGGATGCACCAAAAATTACGGAGGGAGGGAGGGATAAAGACCCCAACCACATTGACGGAGGGCGGGGGGACTTTAAAGTGACACTCGGACTGATTTGATTCCGTGAGCTGGGCTGGGCAGCTACCCAGACTATGTTTTCCTTTAAAAAGCAATACAAGTAAGTTCAATAAGGCATTTTAAACGAGCCTGCCTTTCTCCCACTGGCTGAGAAGTACCCACTGGACGTAAGCAGCACATACTGTTTATCTAGTCAGCTGCGGATGGGCTTTCAGGTTGTCGCCACCTTTAGGCTGCAGCAAGCATCGCCCACACGTCTTTGCTTGTCTCTGTTGGGGTCTGCTTGTCTCTAAGCCTTTGGGGTCCATCCCTAGAGGCCTAGGGGTTTTTCAGCTGGATCAACCATTTTTAGGGAAGTCAGGAGGCCTGAGGGAAGACCGTCACCTCAACAACTGATCTCCAGAAACTGGGTGCAGGCATGGACCGCTGGATGACGGTCGGTGCGGTGTCACTGCTGAAGGGGGCTGTCACGTGATTTGGCATTTGTAGTTTTAAGACCTCGTGGTCTCAGCAAGCTTGTTCTTGGATGGGGACCGCAGAACGTGGCGCGGCCATTCTGCAAGCTCCAAAGAGCCTCATCAGTCAGACTGCCGTGAGCGAAGGTCCTTTTATGGAACGAATTACCACCAGGACAAGTCTTGGATGTATCCGTTGATCCACTGAAAATGGTGGCTTCTGAGGGACCGGCGGGGTTGATTAAATTCAAGGGAGAGAGGTCAATTCTCAAGGATATGGTGACTTGTTGGAAGGATTCCCAAGGGATTATCTTGATGGGTGCAAGATGATGCAGAGATTTATTGTGGGAAAAGCTTCCTGCAAATGGAAAGCGGCGGCACCGTGGAGGAAAAGGCCAGGAATGCTGAACCAAGGAGGCTTTTGTTTTTTTCTCCCATTGCAACATTGTAACTGTTCATTCTTCAAGGGGAACGAGGGCTGTTCTGGGAGGATTCACGGGGAACCCTTCCCCAGCCACCCTACAGGCCTCATCTTGCCCCTGAGACATCTTTTTTGTCCTCAAAGAACACGTGAAAGAAAGGAACAAGGTTTAAGCCCCTGCAGGAGCAATGAGAACTCTTGTCCGGTGTCACTTGAAGTGCTCAGGACTCCGGGAGACAGACGGCTTGAGAACGGACAAGATTCCCAGTTGGATGGTTTCGTCTAATAACAAAGGCTTCTGTGACTTTGTAGCAGGCCTTGTGGACTCACCCTCCTGCTTGACGGTCGCAAAAGTCTCGTTTAGTGTCGGTCTCCAACTAGAAGGGCCGCTCCAGACAGCTGGGGGTGTGGCCGCTCTTCTGATCCCGTGGAATCCCCAGGGCCCAGGACAGGGCCTGGCCCAGAGGAGGTGCTCAGTCCGGATTTGTGAAATGGATCAAAGCAAGTACCGAGGCGTAGTGGCAGGAACCCACCCGGCGGGCGGAGAAGACTCAGAAGGAGCTGTTTGGTTTCCCGCCCCTAGCTGGGACACTGTCTTCCCGGCAGCTGTCGCTGGAGGTTTCTGAATGTTGGATGCAAGCCAATGCCGAGTGCTAACTGTGCGGAGAAGCGAATGAACATGAGCATTGTTCTCTGCCCTGGAGCCACTTATTTCCTGGGACTCTGGGGCACTGACGCAGCTGTGGACGCCTGCAGTCTTCGGTGGGCGGGAATAAGGGATGGTCCTGTCCAAAGCTGCGGGCAATGAGATGTGAAGGGGCCCGGTAGCCTTTCTCAAGAAGTGCCCACCACGGGCTGTGCTTCCCGAATCTCACGGGTCAAACTTCAGTCCCGAGAAGGCCCGGGTTCTCTGATTTTGGGGGTGGGGTGGGGTCTGATCCCTGGA